ATCGCATCATAAAAGCTTATCGACAGCACTCCACGTGACCGTGGAGCGCGCAAGCTGTGTGGACAGTGCAGACAGTTTGTGATGCACTTGACGGCAGCATTCCGTGATGATGCACAAAATGTGTAGCTGCGATGACAAAAATCGGCGCGCTCTGTGCTTGGTATCCTATTTTCGAGTGACCACGCGCTAGCGAAACTGCTAGCCGCTGTTCTGAGCAATCCTTGGCAGTGGGGTGGGGGCGACGAGCTTGACTGTGGGGTCTGCTGCCGATGCATAAAATGCCCGTCCGCAGTTCCGAGGAGCTGGCGAATAATATGCTTTATTTTTTGCTGAGAAGCACGTCGCCACAAGTCCGCTAGCGCGTCATTCTTGCCCGCAGTCTCTCCGTCAGTGGAGTATGCCCTAAAGGCGACTCCGATGACGCGCCACAATGCGCCCGTTCGTAGTAATCTAACCATTAACCCGCCTACAGCTTTGTTTCTCGCAAAGAAGCACGTCCTCACAAGTGTTCTTGCCCCCCAGTCTCGCCGTCAATGGAGTTTGCCTTAAAGACGACTCCGATGAAGCGCCGCGCTCATGGACCGCGCCCGCTTGTAGTAATCTGATCGTGCATGCGCTTACAGCTCCTAACTAAAGTTCAATTATATCCTAAGTGATAATCGAGCTGTGAACACAACACGAAGTAGCGATTTTCAAGATGTCCTCGCAACGCATAAGCAGCAGACGACGACCTCCTAGAACGAGCATCAGGCCGATGGGGAGGCGAGCTGAGGCAACATGGTGACCACAGCCAATCAGGGGCCTCCAAACGACCTTCAAACATTTGCTTTTTGTGCCTTTGTTTTTAAAAAAGGGAGCTAGCTGAGACAGGAGATTTAAACACGGAGAAAGGCTCTTTCCGATGAGCTTAAGAAGCCAGCTCTCGGCTGCTCCATCGCGAAGCTATAATTTTTGGAAAATTGCTGTTTTCTGTAATTTCCAGAAAAAGGTTTTGCTACCTAAGAGGGTGAAACAAATTTTTTTGAAGCACTTCTGCGTGGTTTTCAGTGTAGATATATTGGAATCAGAAAAAAAAAAGGGTTCCAGAAACTGAAAACTTGATTTTTCAAAAAATCAATTTTTTTACCATTTCTCGCGATACCAAAGCCGCGTTCCCCCTTAAAGCCCACTTCACAGCTGTAATGGCATGGGTGTGATCACATTAGGCTAATTCGCTACAGCAATTCTAGTTTTGTACCTTTTCAGTGCTAGTGTGCAGGAGGCCCACCACTGGATACATGGCGCAGCAGCTGACATATACTACGACATCACGATCATGTGATGCTACCTTGCTGGGAAGACTGGCTGCCGGAGGCCCAAGGGCTTTTGTTTCTCTGCATTTTCCCCTTCAATCACCCTATTTTCACCGCGTTCATGTGCCCTGGCATCTAAAAACAGCAAGAGTTTGAAAAGCGTGACAAATGTCTTGGCTGCATCTGCGTGCCACAAATGTGCCATGCATGCAAAAGAGCAGAATGTATTTTTACGTTTACGGTTTTTACTTCAAGGATAGTGAAAATCAAGACGCATGGCTGATGAAGCTAGCTGAGAAGTGGCAATCAGTCAAAGTCTCTTGAATGCGTTTCTTTCAAGCACTTCTAAAAGGGTGACTTTGTCTTCGCAGTGGGAACAGAAGTGTTAATTTATGTGAGCGACAGTGAGTTCACGCGTAACTATACTCTACACGTTAACACCTCAAAAGCTTCTAAAAATTTTCACTCTGATCGGTGAAGATGCCATGGAGAAATTACCGATAAACAAAGAAAAATGAGAACAGGCGATGGAAAGATGCTGCCTCTTATAAAAAATGCCAGGCCTGCGTGGAAGGCGCAGCACAGTCCCAGCGAAAGCTAGAAGAGTGGCCTTTCAGAGCCTTTTCAAAACACTCATTGGGAAACTACTGCAAGCACACTTGCTTGATACTCACTAGGGAATTAATAAGAACTTTTTTTGGGTAGTAGGCCGGCATTCGCTATGCTATTTTTTGTCATTCTTTTGAGAAGCGTAGTATCCGCAAAACACTTGCAAAAAATTTTGTGCCAATTGTTCATGCAGTGGCTGAGGACGATGAGGAATTATGGCTGAAGTGGGTATGCGCCACAGTCTATAAGCTAACAAAAACAAGCTTTTGTTATGGGTTGGAGCATTGGACAGCTCACTCGTTATGCTATTCGCGTTGTGCCACAATCGGTTGTTCCTTCGCTGTTTTAAAACGCTTTATAAGTCGTATTAGCGCGATTGATTTCCCGACATCAAGCCCGTCTAAAGAAAGTTTGCGTACAAGTCACAAGCACCAGCGTATCTCAGTGGTAGAATACTGGGCTGGAACCCAGTGGACCTGGGTTCGAGCCTCACGGTGTCATTGGTGTTAGATCTTTTTTTCTAATTTCGCGCGATGATGTTACGGACTACGACGGTGGTGAACAACTGCGCGTGACCCGAGTTGTGATTTTATAACAGCTTTCGCTGTAAAAGCATACGTTTTTTATGCTTTAGGAGAGGTTTTGGATTGTTGCCCAAGTGGTGAAAGGGGGATATTCCAGAAGAGTTGGGCATCCCGTTCAGCTGGCTGTTTAGAATTCTCAATGTGAACGATAGCATAATGGCGGCACTTCAGAACGGTGCACGTGCTCAGCACAGATTGGTTTGAATAAATCTTAGTTCTGTGATGTTTTGGTGTGAGTGTTTATGTATTTATCACATACTGCGGACCAAGTATGGTCCATGCAGGAGAGGGCAATACAGTTCAAAATTCTTCTACATACATACACTTCCGCTGCAGTATACATTCACTGCAGAACAAAATTCATGTACATTAAAAATTCGTGAAAAACAAGGGACAAATACAGGCAAAGAAGCAGACTTAAGCGATAAGAAAAGGGTATAGTTTCATCTCGGCGTGTCGAGCATAGGGGAATCATGAGGCAGAGCATTCCAATCAGAGACAGTTCTCGGGAAAAATGAATACTTGTAAATGTTAGTGCGTGCAAATATAGGTGTAGTGCTACGACTATGTTTATGACGTGAAGCCCTGGTTGTGTCCTCTGTTATGTAATCTGGTGCATGCAATCCTGATCTGGAAAAGTATAAAAGGCGGAAAAAGTTAAGCCGTGCAGTTTTCCTTCGATCGGCCAAAAGTTGGAGGTTCGCATCCTGCAACAGGGCTGACGGCGAATCGCGACATCTATACCGGTTGTATATAAATCGAGCAGCTAATCGTTGTATTTTTTCTATTTTCTGTATATTACCAGCTGTGTGGGGGTCCCACACAATGCTGGCATATTCAAGAGAAGGATGAACTATGACTTTATAGGCTCTAAGTTTTAGTGAACTAGAAGAACGACCCAATTTATATTTTAGAAAGCCTAATTTTCTCCTGGCAGCAGAACATATACCATAAATATGTGCTGTCCAGCTAAGCTTCGATGTAATCGTTACACCCAAGTACTTGAATTCTTCTACTTGCCTGATAGTGTATCCACCTACATTATAAGTAAACTCCAGTTTTCGGATTTTGTTACTCAGACATAAATATGCAGTTTTCTCAAAATTAATTACCATTTCCCACTTTTTATACCATTCTTTTATGTAGTTTAAGTTCTCACACAAGTCACGCTGGTCATAGATAGAATTTATGGTATTAAAAATTACGCAATCGTCTGCAAATAACTTAACAGACACGCCAGGTCGGATAGCTTGAACTAAATCGTTAATATAAATATTAAATAGTATTGGCCCGAGAACTGACCCTTGCGGGACTCCAGATAACACCCCCAAATAACCAGAGGTGAAACCGTTTATATCTACGTACTGCTTTCTGTTCGTTAAGTATGCTATGACCCAGTTAATTATTTCTGGAGGAATGCCAATATCCTTCATTTTATCTATTAGCTTGATATGCGGGACCTTGTCAAAGGCCTTGGAAAAGTCCATAAAGATGACATCAACCTGTCCAGACTTGTCCAGAACTTTGGAGAACTCGTTAACAGTTGCTAATAATTGTGTGGTGGTAGATAATCCCCGTCGGAAGCCATGTTGCATGCTGTGAATTACATTATTTTGTTCAAGAAAAGTATTTAAATATTTCGCTATAATATGTTCAAGTAATTTGCAACAAATACAGGTAAGGGAGATTGGTCGATAAGTGCTGACTAATAATCTGTTACCTTTCTTAAATACCGGAATTACACGTGCTAGCAGCCAATCGTCGGGCACTGTACTAGTTTTAATCGAAATATCAAATATTATTACTAATAATCTAGCTATAATTTCAGCATGCCTCTTTAGAAAAACAGCTGGGATACCGTCAGGGCCGGTCGATTTTTTTACGTCTAGCCGCAATAATAGTTATGTCACCCCTTCCAAGGATATATTTATTAGGCTTGAAGGACCTGGCACCGTCATAATACTCAAGTTTTGTGGTCTTGAGAAAACGCTCTGAAAGTAGGAATTAAATGCGCTTGCTATTTCGTTTTTATTTGTGACAGCGGTTTCTCCGTTCATTATTTCATCAGGGATACGGTTGTCTTTGTTTTGTAAGAACTGGTAAAATTTTCGTGGACTCTCTGACGCAAAGCGGCCTAGTGTCTCGGTGTAATAATGTTCCCTAGCCTCCTTCAACTTGGATGCTAAAGTATCTCTTAGATCGTGCAGAACTACATCATTAGCTATTTTTTGCTTTCTTCGCCTTTTAATTTTGCGTTTTAAGTGAATTAGATCGCGCGTTATCCAAGGGTTTGTACGGCCAACTTTTTAAAGTTTATCTGGAACGAAATTGCGAATGCAGAAGTGGCAATAAAATTTGAAGGTGTTTCTCTATTTGCACGACTAAGAAATTTTCACAAGATGGAACGAAAATCTCTTCCCCTGCGATTTCATTATTGAGGGGTTACATTTCATGAGAAATAGTTACGACATTGTGTTAGAGTTACATGATAGGTAAAGCCCTCTTTTGTTCACAGGTTTTGTCACGAGTCCCTGAAGAAGTTTCTGGAGAGGACCCAGAAAGCGTAGACCTATATGCCACGTGTGCACTCCCACGTGGCAGACAGCGCTGGGCAACTGCGGCTCTTTACTGCTCCACCATGGAGGCCCTGTATGTCGGAGACCGCTGTGGATCAATCCATGGTTTCTACATTGACGAGGATGAGGTAGAAGGTTCCACCATTATGTCCTTGTTTAGCTTTTTCTCTAAGTGGCCCTATAGAACTGCCAAAGTTTTCAAAAAAAAAAAAAAAGCGATGGGCTAATTTTTTTTTTTGAGCCCTGCAAGAATTGCTTTTTATGAGTTTTTTTTTCTTTCTGCTTTAAAAGACCGCTAAACCATCAGGTCGTTAAAATTCAGTTGTGTGTGGGGCAGTTGTGCATAAGTGTACAATGTACACGAAGCCATGAGAATTTTTTTGAAATAGCGCCGCATACCGTGTTTACTCACGTAATATTCGCGCACGCATAATTCTTGAACCCCTCGCATTTCTCAATAAAAGTAGGTTTTTTTTTTCGCTAGTATTTATCACCTTCCTTATAAATAGCCGCAAGAGTGTCATCTGATTCTTCCACTCTCTGAACATTATAGAATACTATAGCCAAGCGCCATCTTTTAAGCATCATGCATACTATCAGTGCAAGGAGCCCCCATCTAATCCAAGCCGATATGTGGCAAGTACGCGTTGCGGCTTGTTAGGTTTGGATCCTGCCGGTGACAAGTAATCTTTTAGTCCACTTTTCTTTTTTCACATTTACACTACAAATACTTCTGCTAACTTATCCTATACTTTCCCTGTCATTATTGTCTATTAGTTCTCATTAATGCTAGTCCATAAAGTAATTAATATTGAAACGAAGATGCGCAAGCCTACGGGGCGCAGAAGAAGAAGAAGAGTAGTGGAGCGGCACCTGGACTGTGTGGTTGGGTGGAAGCGTTCTAGGCCTGTCTCAGAAGTATGCTGCTATTTCACAACGCCATTTCACCTCATCTGTAAATAAACACAGTCACTCGTAACAGTTTGGTGAAAGGTGCCGGGTACATTGATCTGGACGACCCAGCTCTACCGATTTCGCGACGGAACAGACGCTTGGCAGGCTTGCCACCGCAGCTACCAGACATGGAGGACGCGGGAGCAGGCCATAACAACCTCGTTGCTGATGAGCAACACGCTCACCCGCCAGGACAAAATCGCTGCGGCATGCCGGAACGTCAGCCGAGGACCTCTTCGGGGCAGCCGGATGACGATGTTGACGACTGGCTCAAGCACTACCAAAGAGTGAGTCGCAGCAACCGCTGGAGCACTGCTAAGCAGCTCGAGAATGTGGTATTTTTTCTCGTCGGCACCGCGTCTCTTTCGTTCGACAACCATGAGAGTGCATTGACCACATGGAACATTTTCGTGGACGAGCTGAAGAGGTGTTTTGGTGACTCAACAGCTAAGGTCAAGCAGGCGGAGCAAACGCTTTCACGCAGAGCTCAGTTACCTGGTGAAACATGCACCACCTACATAGAGGCCGTCTTGAAGCTTTGCGGAATCGTGAGTGCGACCATGTGTGACGAAGATAAAGTAGGTCATCTGCTCAAGGGAATCGCAGAAGACGTGTACAATTTCCTTATCACTAAGGAAGACTTACAGCCACCTTCCGACCTAAGGAGACACTGCCGAGCGTTTGAAGCGCTAAAGAGGAGGAGAGTCCTACCGAACTTTGGACGTCTTGACAATGTGCCCACGATTGCAAGTGTCAACCTTCCATCGCAGGACGACATCTCTTCTCTTATAAGACGAGTGGTTAAGGAAGAACTCGCTCAACTGCGAGCTGTGGACACCGCTGGTGTCTGCCATCAGTGTGCATTCGACCAACGGCCCCGTGAACCACTGGTACCTCGGATGCGACAGAGCTGCTTTGAGCCTCGCCCGAATTACACCGATCGGTTCGAACGAAGGAGTGAACGACCACTCGGAAACCAGGAACGCAGGCAAGCTGCGTCACAGGGATTTACTCCTCGAACACCATCGCCCGGCTTTTATCAACCGACGAGGTTTACTTCGCCGGGGACGACCAGACGCGACACCCGTACTTGCTACAACTGCGGGCTACCTGCACACATCGCTAGGTACTGCTACCGTTGCCAGCAGCGAGCTCCACGATTCAACGTGTACATGCCCTATATACCTGCTGGCGAGTCTCGACCATTTCAGGGCTCTTTCCAACAGCAACACGCAGCACGTGCTGACTCGCCTTGCTCCGACCGCAGCGTTAACCCACCACCCGCACGCGAACAGCGATCCTCGTCTCCGCGTCGCCGCTCAGGGACGCCACCACCACTGGGAAACTAACTGGTGCGACCAAAGGGGGTGAGGCCGCAAAATCATCTTCCGCAAGACCCCCTTGTGTTGTAATGGTTGAGAACAAACTGAGTGTTTTTGTAGACAATGTGAGTACTGTTGCACTAGTTGATACCGGTGCTGCCGTTTCCATAATGAGCATGTCTTATAAAAATCACCTTGGGACAAAAGTAATGCTTGCTTGGAATCGGAGTGCTACGTTCCGCGGCGTAGGGGGAGAAACGTTGAGCCCGGTTGGAGTTTGTTCTGTTTTACTTTCTGTAGGAAATCAAACGTTTCGAGCTGAAATAACGGTGCTTGCACGAGCAACCCACGACCCATTCTAGGTATAGATTTTTTGCGGGAATGTGGTGCAACTCTAGATTGTGGTAGTGGTGGGATTATTTTTCGTCCCGTGTTGCAGTCTCCATTGACGAAAGATACCGTTGATGACTGCTTGGAAGTGTTTTCCGTGTCTGAAGACGTCTGCTTGGCCCCACATACCGCAATGTTTGTGCGTGTAAACTCTTCGCGTTCTTGTGTGGGTTCTTACTACAGTTTAGCCGAGCCGAACTTCAGTAATGCACTTAAGAAAAACGTTATTGTGCCTCGTTGGCTCGTGCTTACAGTCGATGGTTGTGCCAATTTGTGGACTGTGAACGTTTCCGCGCAGCCCATATATCTGCCTGCAGGGCTTAAATTGGCAAGCTTTCAAGAGCAAAGTACTCTTATCATACGGTCACTCCAACTGTCGGTGGATGTAAAGAAACCCCACGCCAACTCGTACCCCGACTATTCTGTCAGCATTGACCGTATGATTAACAAGTCACTTCCGTCAACTGAACGGTCGCTGCTGCAGGAGGTGATCGCACGCTACGCCTCAGTCTTTGACTTTGCCCAAGACGAGACATCTACCGTTACGCCACCGTCTTCACGTACGCAACACCGCATCTATACAGGCCAAGCACCACCAATACGCCAGAAGCCCTATCGCGTATCGCCTTCCGAAAGGAAAGTCATCGCTGAGCAAGTTGAAGACATGCTAAAGAAGGGCGTCATACAAGAATCGTGTAGTCTGTGGGCAGCTCTTGTCATTCTAGTCAGGAAGAAGGATAATTCATGGAGATTCTGCGTAGACTATCGTCGCCTAAATGCCATCACAAAAAAGGACGTCTACCCTTTGCCACGTATTGATGACGCCGTGGACTGCCTGCATTCTGCCTCCTATTTTTCTTCTGTCGACTTGTGTTCTAGGTATTGGCAAATTCCTATGCATCCCTCAGATGAAGAGAAGACGACCTTCGTAACACCAGATGGTCTTTTTGGGTTTAACGTTATGCCCTTTGGTTTGTGCAATGCTCCAGCGACATTCGAGAGATTTATTGATACAGTACTCCGTGCACTAAAATGGGAAATTTGCATGTGCTATTTAGATGATGTGACTATCTACGGCTAGACTTTTCAAAAGCATAACCACCGCTTGTCGCTTGTGTTTCAATGCTTAGGCGAAGCTGGCATTGTTTTAAACTCAAAGAAGTGCCATTTTGGAGAATGTCAAGCCGTCGTATTAGGCTTCCTCGTGGATAAAGAAGGCGTACGACCAGACCCACAGAAGACCGCAGTGGTCGCAACATTGAACAACCACGAACAGTGAAGGACCTGCTAAGTTTTCTGGGTCTGTGCTCATATTTCCGCAGATTTATTAAGAGCTACACACAACTTGCCTTCCCACTGACGTCCCTTCTTCGTAAAGACACACCGTACTTGTGGGATGATAAATGTGAGGCTGCATTTCAAGAGCTAAAGTTTTTACTGACTTCAGGACCCATCCTAAAGCATTTTGATCCTGATGCTTTGACTGAACTTCATACTGATGCTAGTGGGCTAGGTGTTGGTGCTGTGCTGGTCGAACTCTGCAACAGCCGCCAGCACGTCGTAGCATATGCCAGTCGGACACTTACCCGAGCAGAGACGACTTACACCGTCACCGAGCTCGAGTGCTTAGCAGTCGTCTTCACCATTCAGAAGTTCCGACCGTATCTACATGGCCGCGAGTTCACAATAGTGACCGATCACCACTCACTATGGCCGGCTGGCTCGTAGGCGTTGCGCCTCCAAGAGTACAGCTTTTCTGTTACCTATAAGAGCGGACGATGTCACACAGATGCCGACTGCTTATCCCACTTTCCTTCACTACGCACCAATGCTGACGACAATGACATTGATGACTATTTAGTTTCTGTTTCGTCCGACTTCCCAGATGCCAGCAGCTTCAAACGTGAGCAGCAGCGCGACCCTACCCTGAAACCCTTGCTCGAAGCTGCACATAACTCTATCGACGAGCACTTTAAAATTTCAAATGGCTTGCTGTATAAAAGAAACTATTCAGCCAATGGCCTCCCCTTGCTTCTGGTGGTGCCGGAAAGCCTGCGCCAGGTCATCCTTCGTTCTGCGCACGATGACATAACATCCGGTCATCTCAGCTTCACACGTACGCTACATCGACTACGTGAGAGGTTCTACTGGCCGAAAATGTGGAAGACCACAAAACAGTACATCACCAGCTGTGCTATATGTCAGCGCCACAAGCGATCCACCACTGCCCGGGCAGGTTATTTGCAGCCCATCCCTCCACCGACATCCCCTTTTGAAAAAGTCGGCATCGACTTGCTCGGACCCCTTCCTAAGACCCCATCGGGCCACCGATATGTTATAGTGTGTGTGGATTATTTAACGTGTTATAGGGAAACGGACGCACTGACATCGGCCACAGCAGCTGCTGTTTCTTCTTTTCTGTTACAACGGGTCATACTGCGTCACGGGGCTCCACGGGTTGT